CGTTATAACTATATATATATATAGTTTATTATATATATTATATTATAATTATTATAATATTTATATTCTTATATTATAATATAAAAAGAAGAAGAAGAAAATTCGTATTTATCGTGGACCTAAATTTCCTCGAATACTGAAATATTGCGAAAAAAGAACAGAATTTTATAAATTTTATATATATAATAAATATATATTATAATACATTATAAATACAATAAATATATATTATAATACATTATATTATAATATAACTATATTATATATTATTCGTATTCATCGCGTGCCTAAATTTCCTCGAATACTGAAATATTGCGAAGAAAAGAACAGAATTTTATAAATTTGATATACCAATTTAACAGAACGGAATAACACTCGCACACGACAGATCCCAATTAGAAATCTCCGAGTATAAATTACGATTTAGACTCGTTGAATTACCGCAAGGGGTGAAACACGCCGAATTCTTTCCATTTCCGCGAGACTTTCGAATGAGAAATTCCGTGCACTATTTTTTTCTCTGCACGATGCAGATTCGCGAAGGACGGGGGATCTATAAGCGCGGATAGTGTTGATAAAATCGGTGACCCCGGAGCCTTGCACTCTCCTTGTCAGATCGATCGGGGACGGTCGATCCGCGACGCGACGGCTCCGCGGCGAGATTCGTCGTCGTCGTCGGCGACGTCCGCTGCGCTCCCTTTCAAGCTTCACCGTCGAGATTTCGTCAGAATCCGGGCAGTTTCTTTTCCTTTAAAGGTTAGAGAACGAATCGAAAATACCGGGGCGGCCGCTTTTACGTAACGAGTGCGCCGCCGCGCGAAAAAGGCGGGAATCGAACGGCCGATTGTGTCCGCGTTCGAATCGCCGCACCGTCGTCGCGTGACAAGGCGCATGCGACTTTTCGAACGCGACAGGATCCGTCGGCCGCCGGAATTTCTTCGCGCCATTTTCGGCGGGCCACGCGTTTCTTACTTAACCCGCTTACGCGCCCCGATCTTACGCGCTCATGATTTAGAACGCGCGCCGGCCAGCGAAACTGTTCGAACCGCTTTCGACCGTTTAAGAACGAGCCGTTTTCGAGGAATATTCTTCGTAGAAAGCTGGATTAGGTATCAGAAACTTAGAATTATATATATATATATTGATCATTTGTTACAGTGGTGTGCATAATTATAGAGACAAAGTTGCTTTTATATTGTTGCTGACGCCTAAACGAAAACTTGACAAAATATTAATTGTATAATTTAATTAATTGTATATTTCTAGTTTCTGTTATTTTTTATATAGAAATATGCAATTGTTTCT